AAAATCGAAGACTCATTCTGTATTTTGACATTTGGACACCACTGATTTGAAAAGGCGGAACTTACTTGATACTATTTATTTGTAAACAAATATATGATAATGCCATTTTTCTTTCAAATATTTTAATCATTATTATTTTTAGAAACTTAAACACACCAAAATGGAAAAAAATGTAAAAGTTGTATTTATTTCTCAATTTTAAGACTTGCTACTGTCAACGGTAAGGTTAATGACGTTTCAGGGATGTACAAGACCCCTAGAATTGGACATTAATTTTGTTAGCGATTTTACGTACACATAGTCATTTAAGAGATATTTAATWATTTTGAAACACCTGAAAATCAAATTGTGTGATTCCCTGAAAGTCCTGAAAATAAAATTAAATGTAATTATGAAGGAGAATAATAAAAAAATAAAAAACAAAAATTATAGTTTTCGTTAAAACATTTTCAAAATAAAACCTTTGAAGTTAATTTTATCTCAGGTGATGGTATTAGGTTTGTTCTACAGGGCTGTCCCTGTAACAACAATGAAAAATTAAAAAAAAATATTATACGCCACTGGGCGTTTTTGATTTTTTTAGTAAAAAAAAATGTTTGTTGGTGTTGGGACACCTGTATGCTTCAAAAGTCGAAGACTTACTCTGTATTTTGACATTTGAACAAATTTATTTGAGTGTCACAGTGACGTCAATGTCAAATGTGACACATGTCAAATATTTTTCTTTTTTTACACTATTTTTGTAGACAAAAATATAAATAGTGAGTTATTTTAAGCTTGAGTATCTCATTATGGAGTAGATAACCCAATATTTACATTTTTTTCGTCAAAATTGAATGATTCGTGATTTTTGGTCCATCGAACTTTGACAAAAATCGGTCGAAAATATCGAGTCCGCCCCTGTTCTATTTACCCACGTCATCGTTTGCAGATATGTCAAAATGACGGAGGAGTTATTTTATCAATGTCATAAAAAATTGGCGATACGATGACACGTGTTTGTGTAAATGAACCATTTTTCAGGAGTTTTCAGCACTGATTCATGTGTCTAAAAATCGTCCCGTCTCATGACAAAACATGGACACCTTAGGTCACCACAGATTGGAAGGTCATACATAGCAATTGCGTAAGGCTATATTAAATTGAAACAGACAAAACCCAGACGACAATATTCATCATAGTTGGCCAGGCGCTAAAACAATCGAAAAAAAAGTCTGAAAGTCGGTCGCCGACTTGATTTGATCACGAATTTTCGGTAATCGCGTAATTGCCGAAAAATCCTTGACACAGAAAGAGATTGTGACGATTTATCAAATGAATTTTTTTTTATTAAATATTTTTAAATTATTGCCATGTTAACACCATGAAAACGATAATGGATTAGGATAGTCGGTTGCATCCGCATGAACATAACTCGAATTTACATTTTATTGCCGACATAAATTTCGCCTGGAATCTTAAAAAAAACTCATTAAGATGCAAAAAATGACGATAAATTTTGACAATAGATTGTCAGAAAACCGGACGATTGTCACATAATTGATTGGAACTTATCGTTAATTAATTCTCTTATCAGTCGAGGATGTGTTATTATTTTAAAAATAAACTGTTTTAAATTATTCTCAATCGAGATGGTCATCTGATCGAAGCAGGCCTTGATAACGGACATGTGCATGGCGAAATCAATGCACTGGCTTTTTGATGACTAGAACAATTACTTTCAGTACATCCCTCGTATATTGAAATTTCTTAATTAAGATTAACAAAAATGGAAAAAGTCGTTAAATTTCGTAAATTTTACAGTCACCTGATTCTTTCTATACGAGGGCCATTTCAAAACTAATGTGAATTCTGAAAAAATCTTAAATTTTAATAATTAAATTTTCTAAAGTTTGAACTAATAAAGGTCTTTTTTAATTTTTTTAAGCTTTTGTTGTTTTTTACCGGTGTACACCCTGTATATCTAATTAAGATATGACGACGGTAATGTTGTTACTCGTAAACTGGCCATTTTTTTCAGAATTGTTGAGACAGATGCAAAAAGAGGGAAATTTAAAATCAATCAAAATTAAATTTTTTTAAGTTCTACTTAGTATACCTTCTACAGGGTGAATATAAAGTATGGAACCAACCGTTTTTTTTTAATCATTTGTCTTCAGAAAATAATAATTAATATAAATTAACGTAATATAAAAAAATGAGATCGTATTTTGAGAACAAAATCTTGTCTTGTTTTTGAGTTATGCGATTTTTTAGTCAAAATTGCAATTTATGAAAAAAAAAAAATTTTGGAAAAATTAAATATGAAGTAAGTAGTTGTAATCCTTAGATCATAACCTTTATGAGAAAAATAATTTTATAGTGGGTTGCTATTTAAAAAATAAATTTTTTTGTAGAACTCAAAAACAAAAGGAAATTTCGAAAAATTTTATTCTTGATAAAACATCATATCTTTAAAGTACTTTATCGTTCATCAATTAGTTTTCCAAAAAATCAATAGTTTAAGCAAAAAACGTTTGGTTTCATACTTTTTATTCACCAGATGGATCAAGTCCTGATCTTAATTTTTTTTCTTCTGATTTAAGTAAAAACGATGGTAATATTAAATATATCTTAGCAGACCTGATTTTGGCTTGATTTTTCAAAAATTTAAAAAGTTGTAACAGTTTTGGAAATATGGGAAAAATAAGAAATTAACATTTTTGCTTTTTTATCATTGTTTTTTGTAATTAAAAAGTAAAACATTTTAATTCATTAATTACTTACTTCTGAAAAAAATTAATTGTAATGTGGCCAAAAGGAAGAGAAAAACGGTTTTTATAATTTTTGACACCAAAAGCTTTAGTTTAAAAAACAACATTTCTTTAAAGTTTCAAACTAAACATGAGTAATATTAAACATAAATAAAAATAGATTAGTTAATGAATCATTAATTCCGTAAAAATTCCTAAAACAAAGTAGGTAACGAGACAATAACAGCAAACGAAGCATTTTCTCCGGAAAAACACAATCCAATTATATTTTTAACCTAAAAAACGAATACAAAGGAATTAACAATTCGAAAAATTTGGGCCCATAGCACTTGCAGAATCCTATCATTGTTTAAATGAAAAAAGCAAACAAGTTTCTAATAAAAATTAATGCCAAGTAAGAATAAATAAACGATAAGAAAATGTACACAATAGCAAATTTCCCTCTCGAAAAATGATCTTAAAAACGATACATCCTGTAATGGTATCTTAGTGCAAAAAAAACTTACATGGTTGGGCGAAAGTGAGCACTTCTTGCGTTTTGACATGGTAGTCGTCCTCCTCCTCGGTGAAGGAGTATCCCGTTTTGAAGTGCGGTTCGTCGCTCTGCATGCCGGCCATCTCCAGGTCGACTTTGGCCAGGAAATGCGGCGGCACCGGGGGCAGAACCCTGCCGGTGACGTTGGGGGCGGTTTGGAAGCCCATCCTCCTCAACACCTCCCCCTTGATCACCTCCAGGTTGCGGTTCTTGATCTCCTCGCGCATTTTACACGAGCCGCAGCCCGAGGCCTGGGTGGACACCTCGTCGAAGGTGGCGTCCGTAAAGCGTCTTTTTACAATACTGTTGGAGCGGTTACGGAGCGCTTTATCACTAAACGTCGCCGTTATCAGAGTCAGAAGCACGAAAGTCCGCGACAAGTCTTGGGGGAGGAAAAGCCGGCTTACCATTTTGAGGGTTTTTCTAAAATAATCAGTCGGGGGTATCACAAAGTTTGACGGCGGTGGATCACAATGCTTCCACTTTTTATCACATTTTTGGATTTTTTCACACTAGGCGACTATTGCCCATAATACTTCGGGTTGAAATCACATCGAATTTCGAAAATTTTAATCACAATTTTGATCACAATCGAATTTTTTTTACATTGGGGGGAAAATTATTCTAGTTGGTATCACATTCGCACGCGTGTCGGCTTCAGAAGAGATCTATCAGTGTAATAAATAAACCGAGTTGGTTTGAGTTAAAGACCAACACTGAGCTTAATATAATGCGAGACTATATCTTATACGTGTGTAGTGCGTGTGTGAAGCGCCACCGCGTCGATCAAAAACGCTCTCCTTCACGATCTCTCCTCCGGCCGCCATCACCCCCACCACACTCACCAAACAACACTCAAAAAACCCTAAAATCGCTGCAAAAACCGCAGGTAATTCCCCGAAAAGTGCGTCAAACCAACATTTTCAAGGTTAGAGTGCAACTACCCCAACATCCGGCTCGGACACTTACATAACCAGAGCATTTTGAGCCAACTCCTGACCTGCCTCAACATTTCGGTAAAACCAGAATTGTGAAATTTTTCCCCAAAAAACTTGTTTATTTACGTGGCGACTTTTTGTCGACTTAGCCTTGAACTGATTTTGTTGATTTAAAATTTTCGAAAATGCGGTTTTGCTTCCCCTCCTGAGCCATTGTGTGCCGGACTGCCCACGCTTTGATCGACATGGTGCGGCTTTAAAATTGCAAGTAGTGGGTCTTCTAATTGAACTATTGTTGGAGAAATGAATTTTTGGGTGATTTATGAAGAATTTCTGAAAGGAATTTAATAATTCATGATTTTTATAAATTTATTAGAAATTTTTTAGTTATTTAGTCATCAGGATGCGCAAAAATGTGAAAATTACATAAAATGACATTTTGGGTCTCGTGGAAATGCTAATGGAAGTGGGTGCGTGCATGGGGGGGCAAGGTTTACTATTCAAATTAATTAAAAAAAATAGTTAGATACAATCTAGTAGTCATTTTAAAATCTTCCTTGTCTTAGTGCCAATTCTGAATAATTAAATGTGCTAATTAATCTAAAAATATTTTTTAATTGTTCCTTGAACTCAAAATAATTCTCAGAAATTTTGGAAAATTATTCAAAAATTCACATTTGGCACTAATTTCGAAATTCGTCCAATGTGAAGGCCACGATTCGTTTTGATTAATTGTAAGTACTTTCACTACCAACTTTCTAAAAATTTGAGTTGCTCAATTTATTAAGACCGAAAATAAAAAACTTGGAATTACCAAAAAATTAATAAAATTGGGAGTGTCTAGATTACAGTCACAAAGGTGAAAGATAATATAATTAATATAATTACTTCAAAAAATGTTTTTATGAAATAAGAATTATTTGGAATTAATTCTTGACTTTAGTTTGGATCAGAAATAAGTTAGTAAAAAAAATTTAATTTTCTATTTTTTAACAAAAAATTTTCAACCTGCTTATTCGATGTTACGTGGAAAATAAAGACTTGACTCAATTGAAAATAGAGAATAGATAATAAAAATAGAGAATAAAAAATAGAGAATAGATAATAAAAAAATAAAAAAATTGAGAATAAGAGAATAGAAGAATGAATTATGAAAAAAAAAGGAATAAAGAAAAAGCAATTATACAGGTTGCGCTAGAACTAGCGCCCCAAAAAAATGCCATCTAAGGTAACATTTAAATATTTAAAAATTCTATCTAGGTATAAAATTTTCGAAGTTGAGAGTTTAAGTTTTGCACGTTGACTATTTATTTCTGTTGGAAAAATAATTTTCTACGTTTTTTTTGCAACAGGCTGTTAGAATTATTTGAAATTAATTCTTGATTTTAGTTTAGATCAGAAATTAGTTAATAAAAAAAATATAAAAAATATAATTTTCTATTTTTTAACAAAAAATTTTCAACCTGCTTATATTATTCGATGTTACGTGAAAA